TTAAACTGCAGTCAGGTGCATCCCATATTGCTGGAACACTGTTTCTGGGATCAGCAGTAACCTTTGCTGGAACCAGGCTTTTAAGGCTTAGTTAGGATCTCAGGATAGCAAGGGCTCTGTATACAGAGGCAGATCAGAAGTGACTCATTCATACTATCCTACCCCTGCTGTCTGCCCAGAAGCAGCACCTTTTAACACTGGAATGGTAAGATTACTTTTTAGTAATTGTCTTAATTGGGTTTTACTCTCTTTTTTTACATGTCTTATCAAAACCGTGATTTTTGAAAATTATGTACGTTGAGAGCCTCTGTCTACTGTAGGCAAATAGATGATATGTATGCCAAAATCATATGCTTGCAGCCAATCTGTGCTAATTTAAGCAACAGTTGAAATGTGATTGAAATCATTGGCAAACAAAAATAACCCTGAAAGTTGTTTTGAATGAATGTTTTTTTAAACAGTAAGATTTTGAGGATCAAAATTCCATCTGGAACAGTAGCCTGGCTCCAGTGGATGGAAGAATTACAAGTGAAGAGTAAAATTAGGGTACTACTGTCCCAACTTTGGGTTATTTTCAGCTGTATTTGCTAACTATGTAACTGCCAGTGGTTTTCTTTAGCAGTTTTGTCCATTTTCTCCTTAAACTTGTATGAGCTCTTATATCTTGCAGTATCATTTGCCAAAGAGTTCAGCAGTGTAAAAAACCATATTTTTTAAATTTACTCTGAATCTGATCTTACTAAATTCATTTGATGCTTCATAATTAGTTTTTAATGAGAGAATGTGTTTAATCAATCCCTTTATACTCTAATGATGTTGCTATCTGCTCTATACCCTTTAAGCTGCCTCTTTTTCAGATTGGGGAGTCCTAGTTTTTTGAGTCATTTTTTGCACAGACATCATATTATCTGCTCTGTGGTGTATTTTTACCTTTAAATATATGCTGTCCATATTTATCTTTTTTATTGTTCTAGTAATTTTTTGCTTTAATGCTTGTTCTAATTTATAATTAATTTTAAATGCATGTAGTCATTAGTTTACATTTAAATGGATTTAATCTAGAAAATCTTACAGCTTTAAGCACCACTGCTCAGTGTATAAGCTATCTTAAATAAAGTTTTTAAATATACATTAATTCATTAAGAATCTGTTGTATAGGTTTTGGTAAGGAATTTCAGTGTGTGCTTTTGTTTTTATTTAGAATAATGACTGTGACTGTCTTTTCATATGATATCCGAAGCATTAACAGGATCTGGAGTAGCAAAACTGGGCAATAGTTAATCTAGCTTTCTCATCTGACTATTTTTATACAGGTTTATTATTAAATCTTGGTATCTCTGTGTTCTTCCCACACCAGTCAGACTCTGCTTAGACTGTCCTAAGAGTGGCAGAACAGTGGCCTAAGCTTCATGAAATGTGTTCACAGGATCTGGTGGCCATCTTGTGTCTCCATCCAGTTGCCTGGAGACAATTACAAAAAAGGTTTCCCTTTTCCTGACCAGGTTTTCAGACAACCTTGAAGTCAGAAAATGGGAAATACTGATCAGTTTAAACCTGATGGACTATTGGAGCTTATGGATGAGCTGTTAGATACAACCAAGAGCCTTTTGTATGCTCTTCTGTTATGTGTAAAGACCAGTGATCCCATTTATGAGTACAGAGAGGTTGCTCTGCTTCTGCATGCAGGCATCATCATCCTCATAGTATCAGATGCTTAATCATTTTATGGTAGAAAAGTTCTTTTACTTTCAGACTTCTCTCTTTCCAATTGGTACTTTTTTGGCATGTGAAATAACACTAATCTATAGGACTTTCATTAACTGAATAATAGCCTAAAAACCCCAATTTAAATCAAAGCTCCCATCTGCTGTTAATCTCATTACTGTAATTACTGTTTGCATTTTATGTTCATAAAATCAAACACTGAAGCCTTGTGTAAAACTTACATATGGGTCAAGAATAGAGCACACAGAGCTCAGAGGTGGGGCAGAATATCCCTCCACCCTCCCATTTCAGAAAAGATGATAGTTATTTGGATAATGGCTTGGTATGCTGTGTGGTATGCTAAAGGTGCCAATGCTAGGAATTTCAGATCATAGAATCGTTTGGGTTGGAAAAGACCTTTAAGATCATTGAGTCCAACTATTAACCCAGCACTGCCAAGTCCACCACTAAACCATGTCCTTAAGTGCCACAGCTACACATCTTTTAAATACCTCCAGGGATGGTGACAGAAGCACATCCCTGGGCAGCCTGTTCCAATGCTTGACTACCCTTCAGTGAAGAATCTTTTTCTAATATCCAACCTAAACCTCACCTGGTACAACTTGAGGCCGTTACCTCTTGTCCTATTCTTTATCTGGGAGAAGAGACCAACCCCCGCCTCACTACAGCCTCCTTTCAGGTAGTTGTAGAGAGTGATAAGGTCCCCCTTGAGCCTTCTCTTCTCCAGACTAAACAACCCAGTTCCCTCAACTGTTCCTCACAGGACTTGTGTTCTAGATCCTTCACCAGCTTCATTGCCCTTCTCTGGACCCACTCCAGCACCTCAATGTCTTTCATATAGTGAGGGGCCCAGAAATGAACACAGGATTCGAGGTGCAGCCTCACCATTTCTGATACAGGCTAGGATGCTCTTTGCCTTCTTTGCCACCTGGGCACAGCCTGGCTCACGTTTGGCTGGCTGTCAACCCACTTTATTTAATTATCAAGCTGTCTTCAACAGGAAGACACATCAAACATATGACAATTTAGAGGAATTATTAAATAATGGAAGACTTAAAAGATTGGACAGCTTGAAGACTGGACATCCTTATGGTTCTTAGGACTGATCTGTAAACTGGACCTAGAACTGTTATGCACTGTTGCATTAGCTTTCAATTTGTAAGTGTGAAAATGTTGAAGACTTGGAGGAAATCAAGATTATTTTAAAGGTTGCAATGGAAAGAAAGCCACAAGTATCTAAATGAAGTAATGGAAGAACTAGCACAAGGGTGAAACAGCAAACTCTCTTCCTGGTTAACATGATAAAGATACTCTGTTTTTCTGGAAAGCTGCTGAAGATCCAATGGAAGTGAAAATAGTAAATGGAAAGTAATGATCATGCGTTATTAATGGTAAATTGAAAGTGATAAAAAGAGGTGTAACAGCTTTTCATGCCACAATATTTCATGTTTTATCGTTCTCCTTTTTAGATTATATTTGGATGTGTATTTGCATCTTTTCCAAAACAGAGCACAAATTATTTCTTTTTCTTACCGCATATATGCTTTCAGTCATTTTCAGCTCTTTCACAGAAGTGAAACATATTAATTAGTCTGAACTATTTAGATACAATAAAGATCTTTCTTCTAGAAGAATGTGTTGTTACTCCCAGGGAAGTTCTTTCTTCTGAAGCTAGTTGTAGATTTCTTACCCACTTCAATGCAGGGAGCTATCTGGTAATTCCTCATGAACTCTTGGTATTCCTCTACATGCAAATGATTCCTTCAAATAAGATGCCAAACCTTGGGAGTCTTGGAATTCCAGGCATTCCAGAGAAAATTATTTACTTATTCTGATTTATGTTTTGAGGATCTTGTTCAATCCCATACAGGAACCTATATATAGGTTTGACTACCTGTATAGGGAAACTGGAGAAAATAGTTACCACAGTTCATGGTCCATGTTAAATGGTGTGCATGATCTCTCACAGAACTGGGTTACAAGCAAGAAGTGCCTGTTGCAATGTGTTCATGGTGACAGTGGTGGGGCAAGGGGTACATGAACCCCACTGCACATGAATATGAGGAAGCAAAGCTCTGCACTATTTTAGCTTGGACTAAAGCAGAGATACAAGGAAACTTTAAATGCTGTCCTGAAAAGATTCAAGGTTAAAAGCTTTGTGATGCTAATTAGATTAAAAATTGCTTAATTGCAACTGTCAAGTGCCAGTGCCAAAACCCTCAGTATACAGTAGTCATGTCTTGTGGTCCTGTACAGGAGTTGAATTGGCCTTCAAGGGTACCACATCACCAGATCACAGGATCTTTATTGCTTGCTGGTAACTTACTTACCAGCCATATAAGATGTAAGACAGTACATCATTTTTACAGGAAATTAAGCAGACACTAACCAGATAGATTTTCTTTACTTCTTTGTAACTGACTGTTTTATAAATATAGCATAATTTGATTAGTTTATTTGTAACTTGTTATGATGCAGCCACTGGAAACCAACTATTGTCTGCCCCTTCTTTGGCCCATTTTGCGGGGGTTATATGTATTTCTTTTATTGCACTTGAAGTGGTAAATCACCTAAGCTGATTAAAACCACACTATTTCAAGGAACCTGTGAAATACATGTCAGAATTAACTGAAGTAGAATTTCAAGTATTCTGTAGTGTTATGTGTAAAGCTATAGATAAGTTTTTCAAGAGAGTATCTGCTCTCGCATATCAAGTAACCACGTTTTTTCAGAGGTATACAGGGTGTCTCACAGGGCTAGCTGCTTTGTGCTCCAAATCTTTTCAGAAGAATACAACTTACATTTTAAAAGCTCATCTTTGCTGTGAGAGTTGAAACTTGGGAAAATCTGGTTGAGTCTGCAAATGTTGCCAATCATATTGATATGTGGAATATAACGTATTAATATAAAGTGACCAAAATGTAATGTACTCTGCTCTCATCTTCCTCAGGGTGTCATTCTTGGACCTGGAGATAGATGGTGTGGTCCATTTTGCACTGGGGCTGAGAACCTGTGAAGTCTGTAAAGCTGTTCATGTAATCCTAGCCAGGGCCTTAACTTTCTGCAGGTCAAAAATTTATACTAACGTGATGGAGACTGTTAAAGACGTACCATTAAATATTCTGACATATGCAAAGTATATATCCCTATTGTTAATCCATACGGAATTGCTTTCAAGGTCATGCTGTGCAGTTAGAATAGTCATTACATGTTCTTGTTGATGGATGTATCTGGTAATTAATTTTTAATTACTTTGGATTTTAATTTCTTCATAGGTTGATGATTCCAACTGTGATGCGGAAATCCTTTCTTTGCTCCTCGATGCCAAGTTAGTGGTAAAGTGCATATCTACTGCCTTCTGTCCTCGCCTTATTGACCACTTGCTGGCTAACCAGGGAGAGGGAGGCTGGGATGTAGAGGAAATAGCTAAAGAACTCAAAAAAGCAGGGTTCAGTGCAGAGGCCGGGTCCCTCTTAATGTCTCATCAAGGGACTCATCCTGCACTCAGGACTTTTACTACTGCCCTGCAGGCTATTCAGCATTGGATCTAAAAATGTTGGATTTACACATTTGTCTTCCTTTTTGCTGGATATCTTATACAAAAGGAAGAAATTATTGTTCTAGCAAAGTAACAAAGTTGGTTATGATCTATGTTCTGTAGAAAATACAAACAGCACACAGTGAATTCCCATATGCTTCTAATCATTTAAAAAAGTATTGGTGCAAACTGTATCATTCTGTTATATGGCTAGCAAAGCATTGAGTCTGATAATCCTTTTCAGATCAAAGTGTTAAATAATTGCGCTTTGAGACATATAAATGCAACGTTAGTAAGATGGCAGGTTATATACAATTTGTCTGAATTTAAGTAATTTACTTTGTCACAATGTAAAACTAATGTAAAAATATAAAGGTATGTGTAGTAAAAAAAAAATCACAATGAAGAGTAATTTCTGAGAATTTCAAACCCTTAAAATTTGGTATTGTCAATGTTGTTACTACAGCTTTTGTTTGCAATAAATAAAATATTTTGCATTTATTGTAGTCTCTTTTCTGTCCTCCTTTTAGACAGATAAATATTTTCTTAATTCAGCTCCTTTTTCTCCTTAGCAATGTTTATTCATATGGACAAGCTGAACTTCTCTGTGCTTGCAGACAGTTATAGTCTTTGAGATATTTTTATCTACAATTTGTGAAGTCACGTCTGAAATCCTAAACATTTCCTCAAATCACAGAATGGTTTGGGTTGGAAGGAACCTTAAAGATCATCTAGTTCCACCCGCCCTGTCATGGGCAGGGACATCTTCCAGTAGACCAGGTTCCTCAAAGCCCCATCCAGCTTTGCCTTGAATTTTCCAGGGATGGGGCAGCCACAGCTTCTCTGATTGTGTGCGAATGTCTCACCACCCTCACAGAAAAGAACACAGAAAATTGGGCAAGTATCCTGTGCAAGGTCAGAGTTCATGGAACAGTAAGTGGACAGTAACTGTGCCTCTGTTACCCACAGAAAAGGGGATGCTGGGTGAAGCCTTGGGCCATTTGCTCCCAAGAATGATGGATGTTGGGTTTCCACGCAGCCACCAATTCTAAAGAGTGTGCTGCTTACACAGTAGCACAAGATGACAGCAGAACACGTAGGAACTGAAGATTTTCCCTGTGCTTGTCTGTCAGGAGGTGAGTACCAAACAAGATAGCTAGAGAGCAAATCAAGGGCAGGGCCACTTCAAAACAGCCACAGCAATTGAAATAAATGAGAAAGAGGTCCCAGGCAGGGATGTTTTTAGGGTTATATTTCATTGGAAAACACACAGCAAGTAACACCTAAGAGCTTGCTGTTCTATTGTGCTGATTGATGATAGACTGAGAGATTCTGAAAGAAAGGAATGAACACAAAACTGGAAGTGTTCCACCTTCAAAATGGATTTATTATTGTAGCATTGCCCACCCTGTCTGCCATGTTTACTTCTTAAAAATTTCCGGGTTCCTAAATTCTAGTATTTTTAAAAGAGAGTACATATTTTCAGTAAAGTCCTAAGACTTGTCTTGCTTCTGAGGTTGTATGACCTGAGCTGTATGTCCAACTTGTTATGAACTTGTCTATCAGTAAAGCCACCTTCATTATTTATGTTTTCATCTGTCATTTCTCTCAGATTATGTCCTTACTGCTTATATCAGGAAAAAAAATAATTAAAATTAAGTAACTAAATCACTATCTGCCCTCTCTGTTTTTATGGACTTCTAATATACACAGTATAAATATTGTGTGTTTTCTAACTTGTTGGGTCCTGGTGTACTTAGTTATTTCTCTATAACCTTTAGTAATTATTTTTTTTTTTGGTATATTTTTTGAGACATGGAAGGGAGGAGCAGAGCCATGCCTTGTATCAAATGTTGTGAATGCACCAAATGTTCAGCATAAAAATGTTTTCCAATTTGATTCTTTCATTGTTACTGGGCACTTGAAGTAGTGTTTGTGTAGGAGCATTTGGTTTGACCCTGACCTCTCTTTCCACATTGGTAGCAGTCATCTGAGATGACATTACTTGATGTGTTTTTACAGTTTGTGATTATTTTTCTTGTGTACATCCTCATAGTTACAGATTGAAGCCCATTTGCCAGCTGATCACGCAGACAGTACATTTCACAGAGACTTTCAACAGTTTTTCATCCAGTCGTCATTCTTCCTCAAAAACCCTGTCTTCATCAGCACTCTGACACCTTTACTATTGGTTCCCTTTTGTAGACACAGAAAATGGTAAACTTGAGTCTCTTTAGCAACTGTGTGTACTTGAAAACAGCTAGCTCATTTTGTTGAAGACACATACATAAAAGCAAATGAGTTGATAAAGGTCCTACAGATGGTCAGAAACAGTCTTGCTGTTTTCGCTTAGTTAAATCATCTGCAGACATGGTTCCATTCTTAGTGCCTCGGTGACTTAAACTTTCAATGTGTTTGTTCTCAGTGATGCTCTGTTGCGCTAGCTGAAGATGGAGTACTGAGACTCCAGACTGAATGAGCAGGAAGACTTTAGTAACAGAAGGACAGAGCCTTATCTTTCCTTAACGATTAGGAAAGTTGTTCCTAACTAGCAGCTGTATTTTCAGTAGGTAATTATAACAGCTCAGACTTTACAAAAAAAAAAAAAAAAAAAAAGGCAAACAAAACTCTCTAAACCTCTTTGACTGCTGTGACATTCAGAAACATGAAAATCTTTTTACTTCAATTTCTTACAATGATAAATCTGATGTGCCACTATTCTTCACTTGCTTTGGGATTAGCTAACAAAGGGGATGGCTTGGTGTTCATGCTAATGACTATGCTCTTTGAACAGAGCAGGGTATTTTATCATGTTGACTGAGCCTTCATAGGATACACTAAACTGTGCAAACAAAAAGTTTTGGGTTATGCCCAGCTCTGTCATAGCTAGATCTGACAACCAGCATTTCTGCCTAAAAACTGTGCTTTCTGAAGCTACCTGGCAGTGGATGGCAGACACCTCAACAGCTTCCCAGCTGTCATTTCCAAACACCAGATTCCTGTATGTCTTATCAATACCAGGTACATGACAGTAGGTGGAAAGTTTTTAGGTATGTGGTGGGCTGACCTTCGCTGGATGCCAGGTGCCCACCAAAGCTGCTCTATCACTCCTCTCCTCAGCCAAACAGGGGAGAGAAAAGAAAATGAAAGGCTCATGGGTCAAGATATGCACAGGGAGAGATCACTCACCAGTTATTGTCATGGGCGAAACAGACTTGACTTGGGGAAGGGGAATGAATTTCTTACCAGTCAAATCAGAGAGAATAATAAGAAAGAAAAACTAAACCTTAAAACACCTTCCCCCCACCCCTCCCTTCTTCCTGGGTTTAACTTTCCTCATGAATTCTCTTATCTCCTCCCCTCAAGCTGTGCAGGGGGACAGGGAATGGGGGTTGTGGTCAGTTCATCACATGTCTCTGCTGCTCCTTCCTCCTCAGGGGAGGACTCCTCACACTCTTCACCTGCTCCAGTGTGGGGTCCCTCCCACAGGAGGCAGTCCTCCATGAACTTCTGCAATGTGAGAGCTTCCCACAGGCTGCAGTTCTTCACAAACTGCTCCAGCGTGGGTCCTTTCCATGGGTGCATCCTTCAGGAACAGACTGCTCCAGTGTGGGTCCCTTCCATGGGTGCAGTCCTTCAGCAACTGACTGCTCCAGTGTGGATCTCCTGTGGGGTCACAGAATCCTGCAGCAAACCTGCTCCAGTGCAGACATCCCACGGGGTCACATGCTCCTTTAGGCATCCCCCTGGTCTGGTGTGGGGTCCTCCCTGGGCTGTAGGTGGAGACCTGCTCCATTGTGGACCTCCATGAGCTGCAGGAGCACAGCCTGCCTCATCATGATCTGCACCACAGGGGAATGTCTGCTCTAGCACATTGACTACCTCCTCCCTTCCTGCTTCGCTGACCTTGGTGTCTGCAGGGCTGCTTATCTCACGTGTCCTCACTCCTCTCTCCAGCTGTAGTTGTTCAAGGCTTTTTTCCCCACTTCTTAACTACGTTATCCCAGAGGTGCTACCACTATTTCTGATGGGCTCGGCTTTGGCCAGCAGTTGGTACATCTTAGAGCTGGCTGGAATTGGCTCCATCAAACACAGGGGAAGCTTCTGGCAGCTTCTAACAGAAGCCACCCCACATAGCACCCCCCTCACCCCCCCCAAAACCTGGCCATGCAAACCCAATACAACATGTAATCAATTTATATGTGGTTGTTATTGAAAACAGCTTTAGAAGCTGCAGTACCTGATTTAGTCAGTGGTCACCTTGCGTAAGTCAGGCAAAGCTGAGTATTAAGCTGAGATTCATTCTTCTGAACATATGAAATGCTAAAACATTTCCTGATAGCAGTTGGTGTAAGTCAACCTCTTCTCTCAAGGCACAAAGGTAATAAAATACTAGACCTGGTACACTATTTATAAGCAAAAAGAGAGAAGTAGTTAGTGGTAATCTCTGAAGTAAATAAGATTTAACGGTGAAAGTCAGTGTATACACACTTTAATCTAAAAAATGTGGTTGCCATTAGAACTAGGTTGTCTGCTTAACATGCATTTCTCTCCTCCTGAGATCAGCATCTTTTGCCAAGCTGTGTTGACACCCTATCACGGAATATTCTCTTAGTCTACCCTCCTAGGCTTCCCTTGCTTGCAGGGTATGGTAACTAGGAATCCAGCTTTACACAGAGCTCTGGTTTGCAGTCCAATGCCCTTTGCAACCCACATTCAGAAAACTGCATGATGTTTTTTTTCTGAGAGAATCTTTAGCTACATAATGTGTCTGTAAAATATTTATTCTAATGAGCAAAGCAGATGTATGCTGTTTAAAAATAAAAAGTAATGCTTGAAAACAAATAAGCAGAAGGAGTTTAGTCGGAATGGGAGAACAATACAGAAAACAAACTGCAAATGAAACCGGGGTGTGATTTTAATGACTCTGGCAGGTACCATCTGCGCTGGTTCTGGATGAGGAGGATAAAAGACACAACAGTACCTGAATGCAAATTTCAATAGTGCGTACGTGAAATACATATAGGCAGTATCCTATATAATCTCAAGAAAGCAATGGTAGTGCAGTTTAAGGTCCAGTCCTGGAAACGTTTCTTTTGTGGTATCTTCTATTCATTTAA